GCAGCTGGGATTACAGGTGTGCCACCATGCCTGGCTAATTTTTGTATTTTTAGTAGAGACAGGGTTTCACCATGTTGGTCAGGCTGGTCTCAAACTCCTGACCTCGTGATCTGCCTGCCTCGGCCTCCCAACGTGCTGGGATTACCAGTGCTACCGCTCCCAGCCTATCCAATATATCAATACCTTTTATTATGTCTACAGTCCCTTTTTTCCTTATTTGACTTTCTGTAACTAGTTTGCCCGTATAGAATGGTATATTTTGACTCCCAGTTATTGCTTATGCAACAATTACTGAGTTTATCTTACTTACTCCTTACTCTCCCCTTTCTCTCATTTAAAAAAATTTCATTATTTCTACTTTACTAGAATATAACATTTACACATAATTATCCCACCCTTACCCCATTGTTGTTTTAGTCTTAATATATTTTGTTAAATACATAAACAGTAACCATCAGACTTTTTGCCAAAGTTTCCCCAGTTCTCTCTTGACTTAATGAAGCTCATCCTCTAATACATCTCTTAGGAAGGGATCACTTGTGAAAACCATATTACTTCAATTCTTGTAGGTTTAAAACCATGATACTCTAAGGACAGCTTGACTTTTTCTTGACTTATACTTTATGACATTTTTTGACATTTTTTTAAAAATGTTGCTATTTTCTAGGCCCACTCTGTAAATTCCTACAGAGAATTCTGATACCAACCTACTTTTTTTGTCCTTGCAAGTAATTTTTTGAAAAAATTTCTTTTGCCAGGAAGCTTTGAAGATTTTTTATTATTAAAGTCTAGGATACATCTCAGAGTTAATTATCCTAGGTCAATTTTCTCCAGGATACAAGTCTTTTCAATATATAGATAAGGTCTTTTTTTCCAGAAAGCTTTCTTGGATTATAATTTTAAATATTAATTCTGTTCTCTTGTTTTGGTTTTATTCTTCAGAGACACTAATTATTTGCACGTGAAATCTTTGCCAATCTTCCATTTCAACTACTTTTTCTTTTTACTCCTTTATCTTTTTTACTCCTTTTTAAACCTTTTTCTAATTTTTGTTGTTGTTTATACTTTTATTCAATGCCCCTTGCTAAATGTTTAGTCAAATACATTCTACCCTGTAGTTCTTGTAATTTAATCTTCATTTCAATTTCTTTCCTAAGTTCAATAACCCTTGTTTCATCTTGGTTTTTGTTTATTTCTCTTGTTTTTTAATTTTTTCATTCAACTTTTTTTATATCTGAAAATGCTTAAAATATTCAATTCAAATTATAGTGCTAAGTTCAATTTTCCTCCATGTTGTGGTTGGTTTTGAGGAGGAACTGTCATCAACTCACAGACTTTATTTTCATTTTCTATTTTTGTCTTACAGGAACTTGCATACATACATTTTTTTTCTACACATATTGTGCAATTTCTAAACTGGAAAACCCTCCATAACAGCTATATGCAGTAACAGTAAGCATTCTGCAGTGGCTTCAGGATTTCTCTTTCATAAATATCCATGTCAGCATAGTGAAGTGCAGTTTTCTTCATGAATAGCTTTTCTTTTCTTCTTTTTCTGGTAGCAGGGGGAGGATTTGGTTTATCTCTGATTTTGTACATTTCTTTTACTACTGCAGGACCCTTAAAATTCTCCCTCTTATTTTCTTCTTTCTGTTTATGACTAAGTCTCTGAACAGTGCCTTTCCCCTCCTCTTCTTTTACTACTCCCCAGAAACTAATTTTCAGAGACTACAAACCTTGGGCATACTTTCAAGTATCTTCCCTGTAGCCAGCAGTCTGATATACCACATCCTGGACTTATTTTCAGTAACGTTGCACTTAAGAGTATGACTGTCTCTTTCTGTTGGTGATTTTCTCTTTGCTCCATCAATTCTTAGTTCCTATTCTTCATTTTCTTCTTCTTTTATACAGTCTTATCAGAATGTACCTGCTCTCAGCACCATACAAGGTTAAGATATGAGCTCCACAGATATCTCTGCTAGTTACAAGTAATTTGAAGTTCATAATATTCTGTCTCAGTTCTCTTGTAAATTATGTGTTCAATTTTCCTCCATGTTTCCTCCAGGTTTCAATTGCTCTCCTTGACACTCTTTATGATGTTTCAGGGGCTACACAGAAATTCAGATTTAGGCATCCACCATTATCCTAGACAACCTGAAAGTCTCTAGCAGCTTTATTTTCAATAGGCTCCTCTCTTATGTGTAATCGTTAGTAAATGTCATTTTATTAGAATTCTGCATTGCCATAAGTTTATTTTAGCTTCTTACAAAGTTATCTTTTTGGGATTTTATCAAACAGATTCCTTAAACCTGACTAGTATAAGTCTTCAGAAATGAATTATATGGTTTCTTAATTTAATCTCTAGCCTGACTTTTCTATATAGAAATCATTTTCTGCCATCCACTGAGCTTAGAAATCTTCTATTCCTTCAAAAATATATATTCCTCCTTAAAAATAAGTAGAAGGTTTCATCTCTTCAATGTCAATGACTGTCTGGGACTACCCATCAGTACAGGGCTTTTGAAGGGTCATTCCATAAAAATAGTTAAGTATCTAATGCTATATCAGCCATCATTTTACTAACTTTCACACCACCACCTCTTGGAGTTTGCTTTGTGGCTACATTATACCCAATCATTTGTTTAGCCACTCCTACCACAACTTTAAGTGTATTTTTAAATAAAAACCTCCTTTCAATCCACTCTTAAAGTATCTTTTCCTCTCCTTGTGGCTACAATTTTAAATTCTAAAACAGGATCTTTTGCATCTGTTGTCTCATGGACTCTAAGAGTACTGACTACAAAGACTCTGGCCTCTAATCCTCTTATCTTATGCCAGTTTCATGCTCTGGTGGTATTCCTGTAGGTTCAACCAACTTGTAGAGTTGCACTGTCCAATACAATAGCTACTATCCACATGTGGCTATTTAAATTTAGATTAGGCCAGGTAGAGTGGCTCACACCTGTAATACCAGTACTTTGGGAGGCCTAGGCAAGAGGATTGTGTGAGGCCAGGAGTTCAAGACCAGCCTGGGCAACATGGCAAGACCCCATCTCTTAAAAAAAAAAATTAGGTGAGCATGGTGGCACACACCTGTAATCTTAGCTACTTAGGAGGCTGAAGTGAAGAATTGCTTGAGCCCAGAAGTTTGAGGCTGCAGGGAGCTATCATCACACCCCTGTACTGGAGAGACCCTGCCTCTAAATATAAATAAATAAATTTAAATTAGCAAAATTAAATAGAATTAAAAATTCTGTTCCTCAGAACATAATGTTTGAACATATATTTCAAGTGCTTGAGAGAGCCGCATGTGGCTAGTGGCTACTGCTGAAGAGTACAGATATAGAATATTTTCATCCTCACAGAAAGGTCCTTTGGACAGTAGTATTCGAAATCTTAATTCAATTGTCTTCAACTTTAATGTTATCTTCTTGCCACCGTTGGGAAAGTACCCATTTCCTTCTCTCTTTATTCCCAGGTGTTTTGGGCCAGTATCACTGGAGTATGGTTAGAAGACTTGTGCTTCTGGATCTTTATTCTTTTTTTATCTCCCCATGGATCCTCCAATCTTCCTTGCCTTTAGTTTTTTCTTACCAGCCTAACATAAATTCATCCAGGTATAGATGCTAAACTACATTAAATCCTGACTTTTAAAAAATCCCATAATAATATATGGCTATTATATCTTAATCAGACTACTCAAGACTTCTGCAAGTACACTTCTCTTCTTATTCTGTCTAGGTAATCTTTTAGCATCCAGGTTTTACATTGAAGGAATCCTGTAAGGGAGTTGCCAGATATGATTTATCTTTTGTGATCCACGAGGCGAAGTGGGGCAGCTGCAGCTTTCCTTAAGACTGTAAGAAATCTCCTTGAATTCTCAGATTTAGTTATTTATATCTAGGAAGTGATGATCGAGGTGAAGTTTCCTTACATTAGACCATGACTGTGCCATCTGCTTGGAAATAACCTAAACTAGAAAACCTCTATGCAAAGAGAAGAAAACCTTTGTGATTCATAAATCTCTGTGTTAAATTAAAAGACTAAACATCCTTTGAGTTACCTGAAAACCAGGTAAAGGTATGGGGCTAGGGGCAAGCAAAGAGAAGTTTCATTGTAGTTTAGAGCAGGAATAGAGGCTGTAACATTGATAATGAACATCTATAGCCAGGAAGGCATAATACTTAACCTAGAGGAGATTCAAGGCTCCTCCCCTCTGTTGGGATCGTCTCCACACTGGCTGCTACCCACACTGGTTATACAAACTCACTGCCCCAGAAACACGTGCTCATTACTATCACGTATATCTTCTGTCCTAAGTAAGTGTTTACTTCTATTAATGGAAGGAAATATAACCCTTCCATTATAGAAGGGTAATCCCAAAATTCATGAGGGTCTTAGGTTCTCACATCTTACCATATGGGTTCTAGATATGCAAAAATGAGTAATTCAGTTAAATTTTTTCCAATTTATTCATATACAGTGATCTGGTATTTTAAATACCAGTTCTCACTATCATCAAGTTTAGGGATAATCTACATTATGTTGCCAAAGAAAAGAATAAAGTTTACTCACCCCTCGAAAAAGTAAACTTAAAGATTTAGCTTCATTAAAACTAACATTAATTCAGTCAAAATGTACAATAGTAAAACTGCTGACATTTCATATGACATATATCCATAGGAAATATGTGAGAAGACTTACATAAACTGCTGCTGTATTATATAATTATACACACCTTTACTTAGGAAGATGCAGTAACCTAAAATATAACCATCAAATCATGATCCTTCAAAAACAACAAAAAACTGCAAAACCCTGGGATTCAAGCTCAAAGGGCATCTCATGGATTCCTAATTCTCAGTCAGATCTGATAATTCAGGTAAAATAAAAATTTCTTCTTTCACTAAATCACAAACAAAAATGTCATTCTGTCATCTTTTCTTTAAGCCTCCAATCTTTCTTTGTTATACATTTTTAATTATATCATCTTAGCATACCTGATTTTTATACAAGGTTTCCTTCAAGCTTGTAAGAGCATGAATACGAACATCGACATTTTCATGCTGAATGGCCTTCATAGAGAGCTGAAGAGTTGTTTGAAGATCCGTGCTCTCAGAGGTCTCCTATATACAAAGCACAGAGAGATAGACCTTATTTTATTATTTTTTTTTAATTCTTTTTTTTGAGACGGAGTCTCGCTCTGTCACCCAGGCTGGAGTGCAGTGGCCGGATCGCAGCTCACTGCAAGCTCCGCCTCCCGGGTTCACGCCATTCTCCTGCCTCAGCCTCCCGAGTAGCTGGGACTACAGACGCCCGCCACCTCGCCCGGCTAGTTTTTTGTATTTTTTAGTAGAGACGGGGTTTCACCGTGTTAGCCAGGATGGTGTCGATCTCCTGACCTCGTGATCCGCCTGTCTCGGCCTCCCAAAGTGCTGGGATTACAGGCTTGAGCCACCGCGCCCAGCCGAGATAGACCTTATTAATCGACTATTTTAACAACCATTTCCAAAGGCCTGAATTCCCTATATAGTTACCATTAAACTATACCAAACCAATTTTTTAAAGTAATAAAATTTCCATTCCTTCCTTTATATAGCATAAGTCATTTTTAGTAATTCTAAGGGAAAGGGATTTCATTGTAAAATTTTTAGACGTGGAGAAAAATTTTATCCCAACTAAGTAAGAATTTACGTATCTAAAATAAGTACTTCTTGACAGGAAGTATAAGTTTCTCTTAATTTATAGAGGGTTACATAATAGCTTTGAACCAGGTCTACAGATTATGTAAGTAATTCACTTCCTTTCACTACCCAAGGTGACACCCAAGGTCAGATATTCCACTTTCTACCCAGAAGTGCTATGAAATCACCACTAACATCTTCATAATTTTAGAGAGCTAAGATTTAAGATGCTGGAATTATACATTATTCCCCTTCTAAATCTCAGGAATCATTCACATCTGACATTTCTATGTCATGGTTTGTAGCACAACAAAACCAGAATCGTCCCACAGCTTTCCTTTCTTCTCTTAGGACGTGCCGCTGTGGTAGCTCTTCTTTTTGGGACAATAAGGACACTTTGGTCTAGGTAGTAAAGGCATAAGAACCGTATTTTTTGCTCTCTGTTCTATCTAATGCTGTTACATCTTTAATCTAAATGCTAAAACTTCCTTCCAAAAGTCATGGATTCATGGTAGCATTATCTACTTACCAGGAATTAGTCATTAGAATAGGACTATATTATCCCTAGATATGATCCTAAAGGATCTTTATCCAATGTATTGGAATTTGGGAACAATTCTGTATTAATGATCTCCTAAACCACAAATTAAAAATTAAATACCTTTCTGTATTCCTGGAGAATGGCTTTTATCTTTTTTAATTCTGGATGATCAGGTAAAAAATATATTTCATGAAGAAAATCTTGCACAGCATCCCTAATAGTCGGAATAAAAAGAATTATTTGCCAAGAATATGAATACTAAAAAAATGTAAAGCAAAAGTTGAAACTAAGGCCAATTTAATTCATAATTAAAAGTGCTAGTTGATTACTGAGCTGCAAAGTATTTTCTAATTATGTCTAAGACGCTCAGCTAAATTATTAGTGGAAAATGACCAAAACTATGAAAATCACTCTATAATAGTGCTAAAATCAACCATGCTTCTCAGCATACAAACCCATATATACAGTCCCTTCCTCTTCAAGCTGGGCTGAGTGTGCGACCTGCTTTAGCAAATAGATGGTGCAGAAGATATGCTGTGCCAGTTTGGGACCTAGGTATTAAAAATGCCTGCAAGTTTCGTCATAAAAAAGGATGAGCTCATGTCCTTTGTAGGGACATGGATGAAGCTGGAAACCATCTTCCTGAGCAAACTATTGCAAGGACAGAAAACCAAATACCGCACAGGTGTTCTCACTCATAGGTGGGAATTGAACAATGAGAACACTTGGACACAGGGTGAGGAACATCACACACGGGGGCCTCTTGTGGGGCGGAGGGTGGGGGGAGAGATAGCATTAGGAGATATACCTAATGTAAATGAGTTAATGGGTGCAGCACACCAACATGGCACATGTATACATATGTAACAAACCTGCATGTTGTGCACATGTACCCTAGAACTTAAAGTATAAAAAAAAAAAAAAAGCGTCCGCAAGTTTCCATTTGTGTGTTCTGGAGAGCCCTGAGTCACTATGTCAGAAGTGTGGTCACCAACATGGACAGACCACGGTACAGAGAGAGAGACTCTGAGACTACACAGAATGAGAGAGAGGCCCAGTCCAGTCCACCTGCCAGCTGAATGTGGCCACACCAGGGACCACTTGTAAGACCAGTAGAACTGACCAGCTTAGCACAGTCCAGATTGCAAAATTATGAGCAAATAAAAATGCTCATTGTTTTAAGATACTAGGTTTGGGAGTGATTTGGAGTGTAGCAATAGACAGCCAAAGACTACCCCAATACACAAATTATCATGAAGAATTATAAAAATATATATATATAAGTAATCCTTATCAGGGCTATAATTTTTAATTTCCTTCTAATATAATAAATGCTCTAATATTTCTGGGTCCAAATATAAGTGTTTCTAAATTCTAGTCTTCGTTAACTCATGCAATAAATATATATTAAATAACTACTATGTGCTATTACATGCTAAGCACTCTGTTAGTCACTGGGGATGGAACAATAAACAAAGCCAAAGTAGTGCCTTCATTCAGCAAGCTTAAGGTCTTCTATCTTGCAGTGTCATGATCATAACTCACTGCAGCCTCAAACTTCTGGGCTCAAGAAATCTTCCTGCCTCAGCCTGCGGTAGCTAGGATTACATACTTTTTTTTTTTTTTTTGACAGAGTCTGGCTCCGTCGCCCAGGCTGGAGTGCAGTAGCGTGATCTTGGTCACTGCAAGCTCCGCCTCCCGGATTCACACCATTCTCCTACCTCAGCCTCCAAAGCAGCTGGGACTACAGGCGCCTGCCACCACATGCGGCTAATTTCTTGTATTTTTAGTAGAGACAGGGTTTCACCATGTTAGCCAGGATGATCTCGATCTCCTGACCTCGTGATCCGCCTGCCTCAGCCTCCCGAAGGGTCTTTTTTTTTTTTTTTTTTAATGTTTCTGTATTTTTTGTAGACGTGGGGTTCTCACTATGTTGCCCAGGCTCCTGGCCTCAAGCAATCCTCCTGCCTTGTCTTCCCAAAGTGTTGGTATTGTTGGCATGAGCCACCATGCCTGGTTGGGATTTTTCTTATGATTATGAAAAAGGTAGAGAAATGACACTTCTGTAATAAACAGCAAAGATATGACTATGTACAAAACAAATTTTAAAGGTACTTGAAAAGTAGTCCCAAAATCTAACTTAGTGATTTTGTTGTTTTATCATGCACAAAATATCAAAAACAAAAGTATTTTAATTAAATAAAAACACATTAACTTTTCCTTCTTCTATGACTTCTCCCTAATTAGATAGTTACTGCAACTGACTAAAGGGACCAGCAATAGCTTATGGGTGAGTAGGTAAATAAGAAGTACTTCAACCCCAACTTTTCACAAGCAAAGGAATGATTATATACAACGTTAAGTAAAATCACAGGAAAAAAATTAAATATATAGAAAGACATCCCTGTCTAAAAAGCAGCCTGAATCAAAAATACAAATGGGAAACAATGATGTATGTTCTGTCAATAGTAGTCCACATCGGCTATAGCCTAATGCCTGTTTTGAAAAATTATGGGGGAAGATAGTAAGAAATAGTCTGTGGCTAGATTTTTAGAAAGCCTTCAATATCAGGCTAAGTAATTTGGAATTTGTCAATTAGGACATGGAGAATCTCAGAATGCCTTTGTATGCCGGAATGACACCAATAAAGAGATATTTTTAAAACACAGTTCTAGTAACAATATCAAGAAAAGTGATAAAAGCTTAAAGGAAGAAAGGCTAGTTCAAAGCTTAATGCAATGAAGTAATAAAGATTTCAACTAAGGTAAGCTGCAGGATGTAGGTATTTCGCCTAACCTTTCTCATGCTATTCAACTGTCTGCCTTTTGACTGTGAAAACAAAGGTAAATCAGGTTTCACACTTACAGAATTAATGAAAAATAATTTTTAACTGCTGACCTATTAATTAGTGAGTTTTAGAAATAATTATAATAGAAGCAATGCCACAACTGAAATAGCATCATGTCAATATGTAATTACATGCCAATTACTTTTGTTACTGATGAACCCTGAAATTCAAAAAAGTGACAGTTCCACAGTACCATCGGTAATTTTAATACCTTGAGACATAAAAATACAGTTTAAAAAGTTATTATTTTACTTTAATTTCAGTTACAATACCTGTTTTCAATTATGAGGTAGTGAAAGATAGCTGCAGTTTCTTTAGGCTGGATGTGTATAAGAGGTAACAAAGCTACTATTACATGACTGAGAAGGGAGCCCAGACAAGCATGATCCAGGCAACGAACAAAGCAGTCCCAAGCTCTATGTGAAAAAACAAATAGAAATGAAGTCCAATTAGTTTTATTATTTGTAAAGCTCTATCAATTAGTTATTAGTTGAAGACACACGATATATACAAACAATAGATTAAAAGGCAGCTTTAAAGCAAAGATCAGTGCTATATATTCAAATAAAGTGATATCCAAATTATATGAAGTCAAAAAAGCAAGGGGAAAAACAGTGTTTGGGGCAGAATTAATACAAAAAAAACAGTGTGTGTGTGCATTTGCTTATTCTTTTACAAAGAGTGGATACACAAAAATTAATAAAAATAGATATCTGTAGAGGTCAAAACTGGAATCTAGATTTCTGACTATAATTTGTTACACAGATTTGAATTTGGGACTATGCAAATGTTTTATATAATTTTTAAATTAAATAGAGGGGAAAAGCAACCCTTAAAAATTTTTAACAAACTGAAACAAGTGAACATAACTAAATATTAAGTTGGTAGCACATGCACACAGAAAATAATTACTTCACATGATTTTAAAACATATTCTGACTATACATCTCTAACAGGATATATTTTATTGACAAAAAGAGCCTCCAAGAAGCTTAAACTGCACTCAGCAGTCTTACTGTTTGTAGTAATATTGAAATTGTCACTTTAAAGACATATATATGTATACAGAAAGAAAAATTACATAAATGTATAATATAAGTCATTAGGAACAAAGACAGAATAACCGGAAAGAAATATAATGTAAAACAAAAGAGTTAAGTCAAAACTATGTGATCTTTATTGTATTGGAAATATACATCTATATATATACATATAAACTCAAAATCTTTTTCTCTTTATAAAAATTTTCTAGTAGCTATATTCACTTAAGACTTAGAAGCAATGACAGTAGGCCCAATGAGTGCCTATACTGGGAATTAATCTGGGCTCAAAGGAACCCAAGCTAGGGTTCCTTGAAGAAATCACTAATTTTAAGTCAGGGGCAGGAAATGTTCAGGATGAGCCCGGGTCATCTTGTCATGCCCAAAAGCAGAAAATCTATAAGAGATTAATGGAGGTCATATCAAAACTCATAGATGCCAACTTGAAAGGATTTCTACTTGCTTAAGATGGGATAATTTCAGCAATAAAAAAGGCTAGTGATTTTAATGGATAAAATTAATCAAACTTATAAAAATCTATGTAATCAAAATGATATTATAAAAGAAGAAAAACTTCACTGGAGGTTGCTACAGCACAAACCTATATTCCTAAATTGATTAACTAAAAGGAAATATTCAAGTAATTATGAACTGCTTTTCCTACATGAACTATAGTTGTTTTGTTTTTAAAGACAAGGTCCTGCTATGTTGCCCAAGCTAGACTCAAACTCAAGTGATCCTTTTGCCTCACCTTCCTAAGCAGCTGGGACTACAGATATGTACAATCATGCCCGGCTAGGCAAATTCTATAAGGAATTTTAAGAATAATCCCACCTAGTAAATACAGAAGGAATAATAAAATTAGAAAATCACTATTTTATCAACTGTAATGAAATAATGGACTTAGACAATGATCATTAATTAATGCTAAAATCATCAGATGAAAGATTAATGAGGAATTTTATAATAAAGGGATTCAGGTTGATAAAACGTACTGTCTAATCTTACCATTACTAAAAGTGGACAACTAGATGTTATTATGTGGCTCATACTGTGCCACAAGAGAAGCACAAAGCCTCACCTATGAGGCATGTTATAATAATAAATTGAACCTAAATCTAATCCAGCATCTATATCTAGGTACCCATTTATAGAAAAAACAGGGATGAAAGAAAAGATAGAGGGAAAAGTTAAATTAGCTATTCGTCAAATCCCACATCCTAAAATCTTAACAGCCTAAAATAAGTAAAATGTGTGGGTAGGGAATTTAAGGGATGAGGTTGTTTACAAGAGGCACTTAAGGAGCCAGGCAACCAAATACATGTATGTAAACTTCATTTATGTCTAACTCAAGAAACAATGATACATACAAACATCTCTGGGAAATGGCATCTACAACATGATATACAATATCTTTGGGAAAAACACCTTTGAGACAACTGGAGGAAATGTGAATAAGGACTGAGTTTTAGATTAGATATTTCTATTAATCCTGCTAAGTATAACAATTCATGAAGGTTATTTTTTAGATGCCCTCATCCATTAGATACATCTAAAGTATTTACAAGTACAATGATATGATTCTTGGATCTTCTGTAATATACCCCAACTAACAATCAAAAAGGTAGAAGCGGATTAGAAAAAACTAGCAATGTTGATAACTGCCAAGGTTGGGAAACAGGTATTGAGGTTCATTGATAACTCTTCTATTTCCCAGTATGTTAAAAGACTTTCATCGTAAAATGTTTTAAAAGAAGTAAATATGTTCTGTTTTCAATACAAATAGTCTTGCTCCCTTAATTATTTATTACTTGAACCCAATTTCCTTCAAAGAGATAAGAATTCAAGTTAGTGCTACTGGAAAATGCAAAATAATAATAATAATAATAATAATAATAATAATAATTAACTCAGGCAGTCATTTACCTGCAACACAATTCAGGAAAATCATCCTTGAATCGAAGGCCAGTTCTCAGTGTGGTCATCATCTTCACCCTCACAGAACTGACATGTTTGGGTCCCATTAACTTCATCAAAGACATCAAACTGTTCAAAGCCTATAGAGTTAAGTAGTGCTTCAGAGTAAAGCTTACAAACATGCTGCCAGAAGCAGATGAGCCCTAAGGACAAGTGCTTCCCATCCAATATCAGGGGCCATCTATTCTCAGATAACACAAAAGATTGAATCAATGTTGGCCAGTTTGTTTCGTCCAATTGCTTATGTCTTATGTGGGAATTATAAATGTGAAAAATACAAGTTGAGTTCTTTTTTGTTTTTTTTTTTCCCTTGAAGGTGATTTGTTATTTTGGCCCAATATTTGTCTAGAATGGTAAAATTTCTAATGTATTAAAGGTATAATGCATATTGTTTAATTTCTTTCATATCTATCCCAAACTGCCATACGCATACATAAAACAAGCTGAATTAAAATCATTTTAATTTGAGACCATATAAAAATTTTTGAAGTAAATGGAATACTTCATAGTGATCAATAGTTAAGGAAATCTTTGTCCTAATGATATTAAATTCAAGATGTCCTGAATTTAGCAAATAAATAATTAATGATACACTCAGAAAATGAAACACATGAAAAACACAGAACCAGACCTGTTACCAGCAGCTCCAGTTTATAATGAAGGGGTAAAGAAACTCTCTGGTTGACTTTATATGCCAAAACATGCAAGCTCTTTATGGTTTACAAGACAAACTCTAGTTTTCTTAGATTCAAGGTGATTCTCTCACTTAGGATAGCAATTGGAGAAATAATAAGAAAGCAGCCATGCAGATAGAATAGTAGTTGGTTGGGGGATTAAATTTACTAGTTGACACCAAAAGAACAGGCATTGGTTGCTGAAATTTGCAGAGTTTAATATGGTATCATATGTCTTTCTTGACTCCTTAAGATTATTTAAAAAAAAGAGGAGGGGAGTAGTATACACTGAAATAAAAGCTTCCATTCATAGGTGTTTTTTGTTTGTTTGTTTTTATTGTAATCTTACTGACTGCAGAGGTGGAAAGCAACAGAAAGGGAAATTCTATCAATATCTAAAATTTTACTCCAATCTTTAGGACAAAAATTTCCAATGGTGGCCAACTATTGCAGTAGTCATAATGAAACTTCATTGTGGCACAAGCATTTAAACATAAAGTTGCTTTACATTATAATAACCTAAGATTTCTGGTGTTCAAAAACACTATGGGCCATGACCCACACTAGATCAATCTAAACCAAGGAGACTCAATGATGCAACTTTTGTTTGAGTTTTCAGTGATTGCTAGTCTCTTTCTTCAAATGCTGGACTAGATGTTGTGATGACGTGAGCTTGAAGCCATTGAGGTCATTACCTGGCTCTTAAGTACAGAGCCAATCCAGGTGAATCTGAGCCAAAAGACTGACTCTGAGAACTTTTTTGAGTCCAAAATCAAGTTATGCCCAAAGCTACATTATCCTTACGCTTTTAGTAACACAGCCACAAATTCCTTTTAGTCACTTTGGGTTGGGTGTTCTATCCCTCCTAAACTAAAGAAATGAAACGAATACAATTCCAATTTTTAAGATTCCCAAAAAGCTTATATAAGTTCTTCAGCAATAGAGAATGTCATGTTTGATTATTTCTCATCTTTGAATGTTTGTAGCTAGATGCAGAATTTATCTATATTCTATATGAATTCTATCTTAGCACTTTGGAACTCAACTATCACCACTTACCATTTTCTTATCTTCAATGCCAACACTAGAGCTCAGTAACTGCATGTTAAAAAAAGCCAAAATGCCCAACAATTTGGGTTGTAAATAATCAGCCTAAGAAATAAAAACAGATAATATGTAAGCTTTATACAGATTGAATTTCTTAAGTTGACATTTTAATTATTTAATTAATGTCATTTATATTTTACTTAACTAGATTAGCATATTGGAAATAAAGACTTGGTGAATTTTCTCCAAAAACATATATCTTCACATGTAGTATTTAAAGAAACTAATGAAATGATTTATAGTCACCTTGAAAAAATATGATTAAATGTATAGTACAAGGAGAAAATGGTAAGTTTTTTAATCATGGAGTGAGCTAGGGTGGGATCCTCAGGATCTGATTCATTTCAGGATATGGAGTGGAGAGGAAAAGAAGAAAGAAAAGAATAGAGAAAGGAAAGGGACTGTCCTTATTCTATGACATTTAGAGCTAAGGTAGAAAAGTACAATTAAGGAAAGGGTATCCCACCAGAAAAATGATCTGACATAGGGGATAATGTCCCCAGAAGTAATAGGGGAAAAGAGGCACAAGACCATGGGCATCAAAAGTTGCAGGCTAGATATTATCATCCATGACACTTTAGGTTTCCTGAAGTAAATAGAATTCCTTCCTTAGTTCCTTCCTTCCTTCTTTCCTTCCTTCTTCCCTCCCTTCCTCCCTCTCTCCCTCCCTCCGTCCGTCCCTTCCTTCCTCCCCTCTTCCCTTCCTTCCTCCCTCCTTCCCTTCCTCCCTCCTTCTCTTCTATTCCTCCTTCATTTGCTTCCTTCCTCTCTCTTTCTTCTTTCTTCCTCTTTTTCTTAAACAGGGTTCTTTCCTTCATTCCTTCCTTTCTCCCTCCCTCCCTCTTTTTCTTTCTTTCCTCCTTTTTCTTTTTTCTTAGAGTTCCTTCCATCCTTCCTACTTCTTTCCTCCTTTGTCTTTTTTTTTCTCTTCTCTTCTTTTCTTCCTCTCTCGATCTCTCTCTCTCTCGACAGGGTCTCGGTCACCTAGGCTGAAGCGCAGTGGCACAATCACAACTCACTGCAGCCTCAACCTCCTAGACTCAACCAATCCTCCCAGCTCAGCCTCCTGAGTCCCTGTAACTACAGGCATGCACCACCATGCCCAGCTAATTTTTTGCATTTTTTGTAGAGATGGGGTTTTGCCATGTTGCCCTGGTCTCAAACTCCTGGGCTCAAGCCATCCTCCTGCTTTGGCCTTCCAGAGTGCTGGGATTACAGGTATAAGCCACTGTGCTCAGCTGAGTTAATACTTTCTTAAGAGACGGTCCTGGAGGAGAGGGCATGGGCTTTAAGTCAGCCAAATCTAGGTTTGAATCTTAATTTTGACACTTCCTAATGTGTGATCATCTATAAGTTACTTAATTCTTCCAAGTCTGTAAAATGTGAACAATAAAACCACCTACTGCATAGAGCTGTTGTAAAGGCTAAATAAGATACCATTTATTGGCCAGGTGCGGTGGCTCACCCCTATAATCCTAGCAATTTGGGAGGCTGAGGCAAGTGGATTACATGAGCTCAGGAGTTTGAGATCAGCCTGGGTAACATGGCGTTTCTACAAAAAAATTAGCCAGACATGGTGGCACACACCTGTGGTCCCAGCTACTCAGGAGGCTGAGGTGGGAAGATCGCTTAAGCGCCAGAGGCAGAGGTTGCAGTGAGCTGAGATTGTGCCACTGCAGTCCAGCCTGGATGACAGAGCAAAACCCTGCTTCCAAAAAAAAAAAAAGATATCATTCACTAAGGACTTAGTATATGGTTAAGTATTAAATCAATGTGTTCATATAATTACAAACTGAGAATGTGACCACTCTGTAAAGAATATTCTTCTGTTTCATGTCTTTATGTACAGACAGAAGAAAGGAGCCAAAAAAAAAAAAAAAAAAAAAGAGCTGGGAATGAGTAGCAACTAAAGCATTTTGAACTCTATAAGAAGTTGCACTGCTTGATATTGAGGCATCTGATTTAGGTATCTTCAGGTTCCATGCATTACCAAGAGAAGGGTAGGAGGGTGTGTGCTACCATATAATAGAGAGGAGTGAGGTATCCTACAAGTCTCTCCAGATTAGATGTCAGGATAAATCTTTATCTTGCCTAGCACTGGAAATCATCTGGTGTTTAATGCCTAAAATTGCATTTTGTTCTGCAAACTTCTGATTTAGATTGAGAGTCAACTTTGGCATAGTAAGCCACAATTCACTAATTGTATGGTTTCAGCCTATATTGCTTAAATAAAAAGCAGATAAGGATCACATAATCTATGTTAACATTCCAATATTAAACTTCTTGCGCTCAAACAATTATTTGACTTTATCTATCTACCAATATATTATCTATCACCAAATACTTATTACATATGCCTAGAATCCTGTGCTGGGTACAGGTGTACAAGATAAGCAAAGTCATTCTCTCTCATTAGCTTACATGGTAGACTAGTATGAACGGAAGACACTAAATAAGTAAGTATGTAAACAAAGTTGTGATAATGCTATAAGAAAATAAACACGATCCTGTGATAGACAAGAAATGTGGTAAGGGAGTTGAGACAGGGTATTTGGGAAACTCTTGAAATCTAAAGAATGAGAAAGATTCAGGATATTATTCCAAGTAGACAGACCATCCTAGGTCTCGAAGCAGGAAAAACTTTGGCACGTTTAAGAAACACAAAGGAAACCATGTTGAAATACAGGGAGAAAGGAAGAAATGGGTTGTACCATGTGAGAGTAGAAAGGTAGGCAGATCATGTATGGCCTTACAGATTTTATTTTATGTTAAAGGCAATGAAAATCATAGAAGGAATTTAATCGGGGAATGATATGAGTTTGTAAAAAGAGCACTCCAAAGGCTGTATAAATAATTAATTGTAGAGAGGGAAGAATGAAAGGACAGAATCATTAGGAGGCGTTCACAGTTGTCCCAAGAAAGATGATGGTTATTTGTGTAAGGGTGGTGGTGGCAGAAATGAAAAAGATATATTTTGGAGAGACTTGATAGCATTTGCCCATTGTTTGATTATAAAAGGATAAAGGAAATGGAGGGCTCACAAATGCTTCTCAGGTTTTGACTCATGCAACTAGGTAGATGGTACCATTACTGAGATGGGAAAGAATGGGAGAAAAACAGGTTAGAAAGGGAAAATAAAGATGTCTAATGAACATATTCTATTTGGAATTGTTTGAGATGCCTATAAGACATGAGAGTAGAGATGATGAAAAGGTGAATATCTGTTTGCCATCCTCTCTCATCCTCAGGTCTATTCTTTGCCGCCTTCTGCCCTTCTCCGTACCTGGGACACTGACCAGACCGCATTACTTAGGATCCCTTGCCCTCTGGCTTTCCACTGAATTCAGTCAGCAGGAAATACCACTAGAACAGAGGGTAGGAGGACAGAGTATGGTTTTCATATTTCCTGCTCTGTGGTTTGAGGTAGTTCTGGCAGTGGCTACATTCCTCTACAATGAGAGGACTCCCCTCATGGTTCTGGCTCTCAATCAGGTTCTAGTAACACTATTTCTTCCCCTTTCCCAGAACTAAGTGGTGGGATTAAGTTTTCTGCTGTTTGTAGTACCTGGGTTCCTTAACATTCCTTGCTGGTTCCCTTAACCTTGCCACGTCACTAAAAGTAGCCCCTTTGTTAAACTATTTCTGTGTAAATGTTTGTGTGTATGCCATCTGTATCCTCCCAGAAACTAACCTATATAAACCAAGCTCAGGGGCAGTCTGGACTGAAATTTCAACTAAAAATTCCCAAAATATAACTCATATTAAAGAAAAAGATCAAAGAAGATCATTAAAGGAGAGAATGATGACTGAAGAAAAACAGCCAGTTACATAGTCCTGAGTTATTCTAACATTTAGAGGATAAAGTAGATAGTTTACAGGGAAAAAGCCAGTAAAGAAGCCTAAACATGAGTGAACAGTGAAGCAAAAAAGAAAAATCAAGACAATGTGGTATCACAGATGCCACGTAGGAAAGGATGGCCAATTGTATTGAATGATACTGAAAGGTTGAATAAGATAGGACAGAGAAGTGACTATGAGATTTAATAGCCAAGAAGACTGTTGGTGATCCTGAAAAAACGAATTTCATAGAATAGTGAGAAAAGAGCCAGACTAGAATGGGAAATGAGAAACCAGAGATAAAAATCTCTCTTAATGAACTGATGCCTAGCATTCCATTATTGGAACAGCAAGCTTGTGGAAGTTATTTATATCCTACTGCTCAAGGTCATCACCAAGGTCTGATTTTTCACAAAAAAAAAAATTTGCAACCTCTGGCATAAATGGGTTAAAATATTTTGCCAATAGTCCTTTAAGTCTCTTACAGGAATGAAGGCAGTTGAAAGAAAAAATAATAATTCAATTCTGAGGATTTATATATTTTTTTAAGATAAACAGTAAAGTGATTTCAAATACAAATTTATGGTAGAGAAAGATTTAAAATAGAGAACGTATTTCCTAACTTCCCTTTTATCCAACAATGGATTAAACTACAGTTAGAATTGAAAAGTTTCATTTGTTGAGCTAAGGAAAGAGTAGTTGGAGGGGCAGGGTGAGAGGAGAGCTACAAACATATTCTAATATACACGTAATTTAAAAGTAGTAAAGAAAAATAAACTTCAACATTTTTATTCCGTGAAAAAATAAAATCTACTCAAAACACTTAAAAGTCCACATTTTCCAACGCTAATATATGTTGTTAATAGCCTAAATATGTAAATATGTAAACAAAGTTGTGATAATGCTGTAAGAAAATAAACATGATCTTGTGTTCATGATCTTGTGCATGTGACCATGCAATTTCAATCAACCTTTTCAAAATAAAAATACCAACTTAAAATTTAAACAAATTGCTAGCAGCCAGAAAATGATCAAAAATACGGTTTCTTCAATTTCATAATTAAGCTGCAAAGGGAAGAAAAACAAACAAGAAAACCTCATAGAACATATTCCTTACCATCAGTTCAGGTGATATGATATCTCTTGGGCCCTGATACGGATCATCACTGGATGCAAATGAGGCAAGTATTGACAAACCATTGAAAACCTGTTGATAGTGTTCTCCAATACGCAGCAATAATTCATTATGCAATCCTTGGAAATCTTGTCTCAACAGGCTCCCCAGTTCAATTTCTGTTTCATTCTAACCCAAAGACATGTTTTAAAAAAAGGTTTTTTCTTCATACTAACATCCTGGAAATAAGTATACTGATTTTAACATGCTATTAGTACATCAGGAGCTCTAGACCAGATGACAGGATTTACTAATGGTATTAAGAAAAGGCATTGGAAAAGATTCTAATCTTATTCTATCCTGGTAGGTCTCCCATGGATTATATGTAATGAAGTGAAGTGATCCAACTTTATATAGAAATAAAATATTAAAAAGCAAGTCCTAGTTTTCTCTAAGGTCTTATAATATCATCAACTCATTACTGGGGACACATAACCCTGGGAGGAAATGTAGTATAGTGGCTTATAGCAGTCTTTCTGTTCAGATTGTTTTAGTTTAAATTCTAGCTGTCATTTATCAGATATGCTGACTTGGATAAGTTACCTAATCTAACCTCTCTCTGCCTTAGTTCCTTATCCATGAAACAAAACCAAAAAAATAGTACCTTTGGCTGGGTGCGTTGGTTCACACCTGTAATTCCAGCACTTTGGGAGGCCAAGGCAGGTGGATCACCTGTGGCCAGGAGTTGGAGATCAGCCTGGCCAACATGGCAAAACCCCACCTCTACTAAAAATACAAAAATTAGCTAGGCCTGGTGGCAGACAACTGTAATCCCAGCTACTCAGGAGGCTGAGGCAGGAGAATCGCTTGAACCCAGGAGGTGGAGGTTGCAGTAAGCTGAGATCGTGCCACTGCACTCTAGCCTGGGCAACAGAGCAAAACTCCATCACAAAATAAATAAATAAAATATGAATAGGACCTTTATCTCATTGGGTAATTGTGAGGATTACATGAAATGATCCATATCAATTGTTTAGCTCAATTTGTGACATGTAGTAAATACTCCATAAACACTTATTATTATCATTCTATCTCTGCAATATACAGTTGTATTATACTTTCTCAAGATGAATAAATATATTTGATATTCACTAACTCTCATGTGGAAAGAGATGTGCTGTTGGCATATCCTATGAAACAAATGAAGTAAATTAACATCAGAGAAAACAGTAACGTTATATGCATATTTCTCATAGTTTTCCTGTTCCCAGGTAGTTTCATATTCCTGAAAGATATTTTGTTAATATGACACCAAAAAAAGCAGCACAGGTTATAATTTTAAACGTAAAACCTACCAAAAAACTGGACCAAACTGTAATCAGAACACCAAGTAACTAAACTAAACACAGACATTATACTGCATTTGAAGGTGATTGCCTCTTCCTATGTACATAATTAAGTGTGTATCATCAGTCAACTTAAAACTCCAATCAACTGAAAAGTACTATAATGAAATAGGCTGAGAACCTCTCCTATAAAAGGATGTCTATCGTATCCCCTTACGGTGAAATGATCAAAGAAAACAAAAGGAGAATTCTATTTAATATAGTCTCAGGACAAAGATTATTTAACAACACTTAAACTTACATTCTTCTAGGACAGGCTATAATTTACTCACCCTCCTTCCTAGAAGAATGTTACATCTTTCCTATAATGCTAATTTATATAAAAAAGTAAAATATATAGAAATATTCAATTACCTTCAGATAATGAAGGGCACGTTCTAATTCATCTTTGGAACAAGAACAGACCAAATGAGAAAAAATATATTTGAAGTTGTTTATTAAAATCTCTCTACGATTGACATTTAATTGTTTTCCTAAAGTTCGAATGAGAGCAGAAGCTGCAGGGCTTGCTTTGGCAGCAAGATCGGGTAGTAGAACTTGTAATGTCCTCTGAAAAAGAATGCAACAATTACCAAAAAGTACATTTGTCTGGCTGAAAAAAATATTCACATAAGCTACGTGCAAAAATATTTTTAAATGCCACACATATTTGGAGTCCATGTAGGACTTGTATTTGAATTCAGATTTACCATTTATTCACTCAAATGATATTTACTGGGCAATTTGCTATGATTCAGGCACTGCACATAGCAGTAAATAAAATAGGCAAGGTACCTGATGGCACAGATCTTACATTGTAAAAAGGTAGAGAAACAGACAATAAATAAGCAAATGGAAAAGTAAAAAAGATAATTTTTCAGGAGTATGTGTTAAAATATACTCATGCTCTGAGGTAGAAATTACAAGTCTAATGTATTACTTGAACTTGTATTTAAAGAATAAGCAAGAGTAACCATAAATGCAATTTTTAAAGACATTTTTTAAATTTAAGAGTTGATGTTGTAACATATATAAAAAAATCTTTTAACACACACACCATCCCAATACTGCAACAATTCATTTTTGTCTATTCCTTTAAGACGTTTTTAATAAAATATATACAAAATCCAAAGATAAGAGAAATGGACTTGCATTTATTCATTCTACATGTACTTATTACATGTCAGTTACTATCCTAAGCACACATGTCAGTTAGTATCCTAAGCACTGGAGATGTGATAGTGAACAAGACCCAAGTTCTGCCCTCAGACACTTATATGGTACTTCTACTTTACCTTTCAACTTAATATTAACATTATAAGATTGTTGTAATATTATAAGGTAGTTTCCTCAATGTTATAATAATTTATGATGTTAATGGTTACATAATATCCACCTACCTAAAATTAAGACATTTAGTTTCTACTCAGAGTTTTGCTTTTGTTTTCTTTTGCTACTTGGATAATGTTATAATAAATATCTTTGCTTTTCGATTCCCAGAGTAGAGTGAGTGAATGAAAATGTATGAATGTCTTTGTGGTCCTCCCCACATACTAACATATTTCCTTCCAGTGTTTGACCAATTTATAAGCAATTTATGTTTGCTAAACTATAGTAATGCTGTAGAGAAATATTCTGCATGAATTGCTATTATAATTTATTAATTAAGAGTAACAATAAACTTTGCCTTTGTGAAAAGGTTAAAAGATAATCTATTTTATCATTTGTAAACCTCAGCACCAATTTCTTTTTTTTTTTCCTAAACTGAAGTGGTAGAACTTTTTTTTTCTGAACCCAATGACTTTTCAAAGGCTTCCTAAACCACTCCATACTATAAAATATGTCACAGTAGATCATTTATACCACTACAATTTTATACTTTATTATTCCAACGCCTTACGAGTAGAAATGATCATATTAGACTTCAAATTACCAATGGAAAAAATCATAGCACCAAAGACATAAGGGCTCAAATAGCTAACTGAATTGATTAGCATTATTCAATTAGTATTAACTTTTCAGGACAGCTAACCATAAAGAACAATGACTCAAATCCATTTAAACTTAAGTTTTACAGCGTAAGCAATAATCTAGTATCAAAGTCAAAATCTAGAACGGCATGAACAAAATACTGAATTGCAAATCTCAAGTGAACTATATGTTGCAACTTACAGTAAGAAAACGATTAAGATCAGGAAAGTCGAAAACGTTGGCAATTTCAGACAAAGTATTTAAAGCCACTTCTCTTTGGTGAGCTACATCTTGTTTTCGCATGTCAGCATTCTGGCATGGAGTACTCGGAAGTGCTGTCATCTGACTAGAGTGAAGGGATTCTACCAAAAACTAGAGCAAAAACCATTTTATTGTTAGTTTTCACACAAAGAAGAAATTTTAACTAATACTTTTTAAGCTACCATAGAGGGCAGTATCAAATAGTATTCTACATTATCTGAATTGGTTCATTCAATTTTTATAACAACCTTAATGAGGCAGAGTATGTCACAACCTGCCTTTTACAGATGACATAATCAGGCCTAGTTAAAAAACTTGAATATCATGCTAAGGATTATACCACAAATAAATTCAGTATTTTAGCATAACCTAACTTTTCAGCCATTAATTGAATATATTTAAAACAAAGTGTCATATAACATAGTATCAAGGCGTAAAAGAGTTTACTATCACTAAAAGGGTATACATCATTATAAGATGATTTTCTTCCTCTCCCATTTATAACCTGTATCTTCAGACCAATATCCTAAAATATAAAAATGGCAAGATTTCAGTTCTATTAAATAAACTAAATACATCCTTTTTAACAATTATTATTCTTTTTTTCTTTTAGACAGAGTCTCGCTCTGTCACCCAGGCTGGAGCACAGTAGTGCGATCTCGGCTCACTGTAACAGCCACCTCCTGGGTTCAGGCGATTCTTCTGCCTCAGCCTCCTGAGTAGCTGGGATTACAGGTGCTCATCCCCATGCCTGGTTAATTTTTGTATTTTTAGTAGAGATGGGGTTTCACCATGCTAGCCAGGCTAGTCTCAAACTCCTGACCTCAGGTGATTCGCCCACCTTGGCCTCCCATAGTGCTGAGAATTCAGGAAATGAGTCACCACGTCCAGTCTTAACAATAATTTTTTAAAGCAAGCACAATGCTTTCTTTTTAAAACCAGGCACAGTGGCTCATGACAGTAATCCCAGCACTTGCAGAGGCAGAGGTGGGAGGATCATTTGAGGCCAGGAGTTAAAGAGCAGCCTGGGCAAAATACAGCTGCTCTCTCTAAAACCCCATCTCTAAAAATAAATAAATAAATAAATAAATAAATAGCTAGGTGTGGTGGTGCACACCTGTAGACCCAGCTACTCAGGAGGCTAAAGTGGGAAGATCTCTAAGCCCAGGAGTTAGAGGCTTCAATGAGTTATCATCACGCCACTCCATGATCACTGTATGTTGCCTGGACAACAGAGTAAAACTTGGTCTCTAAGAAATATTTAAAACAAAAAATAAAATAAAACTTTTAAAAAGCAAATGGAACAGATTAGATAACTCAGAAATTCGACGACACATCTATAACCATCCAATCTTTGATTAACCTGATGAAAACAAGCAACGGGGAAAGGATTCTCTATTCAATAAATGGTTTGGAGAACTGACTAGCTATATGCAGAAAATTGAAACTGGACCGCTTCCTCATACCATATACAAAAATTAACTCAAGATGGATTAAAGACTTAAATGTGAAACTCAAAACTATAAAAATCCTACAAGAAAATCTAGGCAATACCTCAGGATATAGGCAGAGACAAAGATTCCATCACAAAAATGCCAAAAGCAATTTCAATAAAAGGATCTATTTAAACTCAAGAGCTTCTGCACAGTAAAATAAACTATCATCAGAGTGGACAGACAACTTACAGAATGGGAGAAAATTTCTGCAATCTATTCATCTGACAGAGGTCTAATATACAGAGTCTACAAAGAACTTAAACAAATGTACATGAAAAAAACCACCCCATTAAAAAGTAGGCAAAGGACATAAACAGACTCTTCTCCAAAGAAGACATACATGCAGCCAGCCAACGAACATGAAAAAAAGCTCAACATCACTGGTCAAAACTACAATGAGATACCATCTCACGCCAGTCAGTATAGCTATTATTAAAAAGTCAAAAAACAGACACTGGCAAGGTTTCAGAGAAGAAGGAATGCTTTTATACTGTTGGCGGGAGCGTAAATTAGTTAAACCATTGTGGAAGACAGTGTGGCAATTCCTCAAAGACCCAGAGGCAGAAATACCATTTGACCCAGCAATCCCGCTACTGGGTATATATCCAAAGGAACATAAATCATTCTGTAATAAAGATACATGCACATGTAGGTTCACTGCAGCACCATTTACAATAGTAAAGTTGGCCAGGTGCGTTGGCTCATGCCTGTAATCCTAGCATTTTGGGAGGCTGAGACAGGTGGATCGCTTGAGGTTAGGAGTTCGAGACCAACCTGGCCAACATGGTGACACCTCATCTCTACTAAAAATACAAAAATTAGCCAGGCGTGGTGGCAGGCACCTATAATACCAGTTACTAGGGAGGCTGAGGCAGGAGAATCCCTTGAACCTGGGAGGTGAAGGTTGCATTGAACTGAGATTGCATCATTGCACTGCAGCCTGGACAACAGAGCAAAATTCCATCTCAAAAAAAAAAAAAAGCAAAAAAAATCATGGAGTTAACCTAAATGTCCATCAATGATAGACTGGATAAAGAAATGTTGGTACATATATACCATGGAATACTATACAGCCACAAAAAGGAACAAAGATCATGTCCTTTGCAGGGACATTAATGGAATTGGAAGCCATTATCCTCAGCAAACTAACACAGGAACAGAAACCAACCGACACGTTTTCATATAAGTAGGAGCTGAATGATGAGAACACATGGACCAATTTGAGGGAACAAACACCACTGGGCCTGTTCAGGGGGCGGTGGAGGAAGGGAGGAGCTTATCACAATATAGCTATTATGGATGGCCTGGGCTTA